GTGTGTGTGTGTGTGTGTGTGTGTGTGTGTGTGTGTGTGTGTGTTTGTGTGTGTTTGTGCGTGCGTGCGTGCGTGCGTGCGTGCGTGCGTACGTACATGTTATTGGGAGTTTTGATGCTCCCCGCAATCGCAGTTGATCTTTTGCGGTTTGTAAGTGCACAACAGTCATATGCGCCACAGCAACTGTGAGCTACTGGCCAGTCCAAACGTGAGTGGGACTTTGCTGCAGACCCTACTTGCTGCCTACACCACCAGCCTCCACAGCCCTGCGGCCTGTTCGGCTTGAAAAAGTTGTGCTCTCTCAGAAAATTTTACAGCCTGAATGAGGTCAGTGAGCTGTCCGCCTTCACATGCTGCCCATGCGTGGGCAATGCGATGCTTTGCTCTCCCGGGCGGCGTTGGGTGAATTGCTGAGTCGCTGTTTGGGATGAGTCCATGTGCTTTGAAAATGCATTATCGCGCGCCGTAATACGCTGAAAGACCGGTTAATTTGCATTGATGCTGCACCTGTGCTGTGCACGATCACTTGGCGCGAACCTGCCCTTCGTAACTCAACTGATCTCATCAGCATGTTCTGGTGACATACTTATGAGTAAGCTTTGATCTATGATGCAAGCGTAGTCACTGCGCAGTCACGCACGTAGCGACTGGATCGATCTGAACTTTCAGGCCCTTGGGCCTTCTCTTTCCCCGCCACTGGGACCCCCACGGCGATGAGCCCGCTTAGTAGCACGATGCTGAACGCTAGACGCTGTCCCGTCTGTGCGCGCCTGGGTGAACCAGGGCGCCCGGGGCTGGGCGCCGCTGCTCCACGATCTGAGAGCGAGGTGCTACCCGTGCATCTTCATAAATTTCCAACGCGGTTGAGCGCTGCCTGTCTCACAACCCCACCAGCCAAGCGTCTGTGATGGATTTCAGAAGGCCGACTCTTGGAAGCACCAATACAGTACTGCCGGCTCAGTCATCCGTCTGCCCGCCATCGGACATGCATCAGCCACCTTGGGACTTCCCACCACGGCCATTGGACCGGCCTGCTTGGACGAGCCGCCACGGAATGCATGCAGTCCTCACGGTGTCATGATACTTATGTAGATGTTGGTTTCAACTGGCCTGCACACCGTTCACTGTGCCTGTCGTGCAGCTGAAATTTCGTTGTCCTGCAGGCCCCATCCATCCGGCACCCATGCCCAACCGTCATCGCCGCACGGCCTCAGCAGCCGCCCTCTTGCTGCTGCTCGCCGTCTGCTCGGCCGCGCCACGGCTTACCGCCGCCGCACGTGATGCTCCCAACGACGGCACCCCCGCCCCCGCCAACAACAGCGCGGGCAGCGCCGGCGGCCTCGGTGCGATGCTGATGACCGCCATGGGTGTGTACCTGCAGCAGAACGTCCCAAAGCTCGTGGAGGCCGCAGTGGCGCAGCGGGTGCGCATGGATGGTTCGCAGCTGGCAGCGTGCGCGGCATGCATGCATGCAGCGGGGATCGGGGTTCTAGATGTGCAGGGGATTGGGGATGGAGGGCACGAGTGTGTTTTCTTGCCCATGCATGTGCGTGAGCAGCGCATGCTGCGGCCCGGCAGGCAGCAGGGAATGCAAGAGCCAAGTTGGCTTCGCTGTTTGGTGGGCGCTGGCGCCAGCTCGCCGCGCAGGCAGGGCCGGGGGAGCGTATGCTACGTGCGTGTGGCCACACCGTCAGCCTTGCTTCGCTTGGCTTTGATGGGCACGTACACATTTGCAGTCTCCCACGCCACCAAAACCGTGGCCTCCTTCCCCTCCCCACTCAAGCCCCACCCTGCGACCCACCCACCGACCCCACCACGTACAACTCGCAGCAGCGGTCCGTGCCGCAGCAGCGGACGAGCGGCATCGACCTCGACGGCGACGGCAAGCCCGACCTTCCCACCCCCGACCTCAGCCTCACGGCCCCAGAGCTGAGCCTGGACCCCACGCTGTCGCTGGCGCTGTCCCCCTTCACCTTTGCGCCAACCTACGCCGTCAGCGTCGACCCCACCCTCGCGCCGACCGGCGGCGCGTCCTTCGCTCCGACGGTGGCGCCGACCGGCGCCGGCATCCTGGGGCCGACCCTCCAGCCGACGGACATCACGTCGGTGAGCGCATGAATGTGTGGGCGTGTCAGGGGCCGCCGTGGAGCTTTTTTGAAAAGCCTGCTGGCTGTCAGGACCGCCTGGCTTGGTATCAACCGTCAGCACGCGCAGCAGGAGCCTGATCATGCGTCCGCTGGCGGGCCGGCGCCCAGAGCAGGGAACTGCGCTTTGATCGATGCAGCAGGCGTCGCGGGGCGTGTGCATGGGGAGGGGGGAGGCGACGTGCGACAGGAGCCTGGCTGACTGCACCCCATCGGTTCATCACGCCACCGGCTCGCCGGCGTCGCCCACCCCTTCTTCTATCCGCCTCGAGTTTCCCTCCCCTCTGGAGCTGCTTGCGTCCTGCGGCCGGCCCCCACTTTCAAAGCAAAGCGTGCTAAGCACTCACGCTCCATCCCACCCCCCCCCTCCCGGGCGCATTGGGTTCTGTCCCGGCCCCATCACCGCGCAACCCACACAGGTCAACCCCACCTACGCCCCGACCACGTCGATCAACCTGCCGTCGCCGCCGAGCGACAGCCCCGCCGTCTCGGCCTCCAGCCGCAGCGCCGCCCCCATCGCCCCCATCGCCGCCCGCCTGGCCCAACGCATCTCCAAGGCCGCGATCGCCAAGGCCCCAGCCAAGGCCGCCGCCGCCGCCACCCAGGCTCCCGCAGCTGGCGCCGCCAAGGCCCCTGCCACCACCGGCGCCGCCGCCAAGGCCCCGGCGAAGCCCTGAGGGGCCGCTTGCGTGTCGGCCGTGCGGGGGCGCGACCGCCCTGGCGCCGCTGCACCACTCACACGGCCGCGCGGCAGCCTGGTGGCGGGGGTGCACACCCACCCCAGCGGGCACGTGTGAGCGGTGCGGCCTGTCACTCCCTTGCGGAGCATGGAGGCCGGGATCTTGCGGTGTCGCAAGCAGCCGTGCCTGTGCTTGCCGATCGCATGCCTCACACATTTCAAACAGAGAGGCCAGCGCAATGACCGGGCTGCTGCATCAATACCGGGGCTCTATCGTGCATCCAACCATCACCCATCTTGCGGCTGCCTGGCAGCACTGGGTACATAAGTGCAGCACTCTGCTGTGACAAGTGCTGTGCTGGGGACCGTGACCTGCACCGTTGAAAACGTGCCACGCGCCCCGTTTTTCGTGGCATGCACCACAATAAGCACACCATGCAACCTCTCACAGCGAACGGCTTGTGTCTCGGGCGAGGCTTGCAAACCTGCAGACCGCCCTTGCGGCAGTGACGCCGTCGGTGACGCGTCACTGCAAAGTCGCGGCACCAATCGCGCCACAAACCGGCGGGACGGGCTTACAATTCATGCGCACCGCACAGGCGACGAGTAACCATGCAAAGCACCAGGCAGCTGCGGCGTCGGCACAGTGGCAATCAACTTCTCTTGGGAACGCCAACGGCGCAACGTCCCACGGTTCCAGAGCACCACAGCAGGGATTTAATTTGCAGCAGGGAATCAGCATAACGGCAACAATCAATTGTCAATCAGTTTCATTTGCTGTATGCAGTTGTAACTCTCGCAAGGTGGATCGCCAACCCCCAGACAAGGATGGTCACCACGCAGTCAACGATGCGCCAGCACCGCTGCTCAACTGGCAGTCAGCGCAAACGCCTGCAATTTGCTAGCTAGTCTGGAGAGCCTTCCCGCTGAGCATGGTTACAGTGCCAATCCAACAGGCAGCAAATGCTGAGTGCAGCAGTGGGCCGAGTGACAGCACAGGGGGGGGGGGGTCATTCGCCCCATGACTTTGGGCGGGCAGACAGAGGTGTATGTGTGTGCCCAGACTCGGCGCAAACCAGCCTGGACAACAATCCCCTCCTCTCCTCTCCTCTCTCTCCTCTCCTCTCCTGGAAAACAGCAGGCACAGAGTCTTATGCTCAGCCATGTGCTGTACGCTACCCTTGCCGCTACACCTGCAGTGCCGATACCCTCAGGCCGACCTGCCCACCTGTGCCCCGCTGCACACTCGCGCCAAGCCCTCCGCCCGCCTTGCGACCTGGCGACGCTCTCCCATCGCGCCACATCCTTGCCCACTTGGTCAGGCTGCTATAATAAAGCACAAGCATTTATTGTGTTTGATGCAAGTGGAGGGTGTTGGTAGATCCCGCGCTCGTCTCAGCTGCCAGCAGATAGGCCCTTTCCCCCCACGCCCCCCCCCACCCCCGCAGCGCGCCACGGACGGCGCAAGAGGGGTGCCTCTCTTGGGGTGGTCAGCCGGCGCTGCAGCGCGGCGGCGCCAGAGTCAGCACACACGCGCGGGCGGCGGCAGCACCCGCGCGCTCTTGGACCGGCCGGGCTCTTGGCGCGTCCGGGCCCTTGTCGCAACCGGGATCACTCGGACCGGCCTGCTCGGACCGGCCGAGCGCACAGCTGTTGAAAGTTCAAGGTGCAGCGCGCCCCCATCCACATTGATCCCGCCCCCTGCAGTCGCACGTAGCTGCATTCGTAGCTCCTGCTGCCGCATGCAGCTGGCCGCACCAAACCGTTGCACGCGACTCGTCGCGATGAACCCCCTCAGCCGCCGTCCCCCGGCTGTCATGCTGCTGCTGCTGCTGGCTGTCTGCGTTGCGAGCCCGCAGCTCGCGGCGGCCCAGCGCGGCCCTGGGCGCGTTTTTGGCGGGTCTCGCCCGCTCGCCAGCGGGCCGGGCGCGGCCGCGCTGCAGCGCTGGCTGTCTCAGCTGTTCTCCGCCCCCGTGAAGGTGCGGAATTCGCGCATGTGACTCGCATGAAGCTTCCAGCACGAGGCCTGCAGCAGCGGCCGGGCCGGCACGCCCACCCTAGGGACCAGGCCTGCAGCCCT